CGCCTCTGGAAATCCCTGTTCTCCAATCAGGTGGAGAGCACTGCGGGGTGAAAGGGAGACAGACAGAGAGCAGTTTCTTTTACAGTAAACTCTATATTGTGTTCACATGGAGACCTGGAGATGCGCCGACTTCCGGTCCCCGAAGCCGATCTTCACGGCCAAGGAGATTGAGGATTTCAGGACTCAGAGTTATGGCAGGAATCAGGAATCAATCGAGGTGACATCAGGGAGAGAGGGACGGAGGAAGGAAAAGGGAGGGGATGGGTTTAAAAGGCAGTGGTGAGGTGAGAGGGGAGGAAGATCGAAGGGAGTGAGGAGGAGGGGGACTGAGGGGGCTGCCTTTCCTTGGGGACTGGGGAACTCATGCCCTGCCCCCACCCTCGGGGCTCCAGGGGTGAGAGAAAGAGGTGGAGAATAAAGAATCAGGCAGCAGGGTGATGGGGGGAACAGCAGCTGGGGTATTTAGGGCAGGGGGAGTGGGGGGCAGAACCAACTAATGGACCGGCTCAGAAGGGGAGAAGATACAAGGAATGAGAGCAAGAGAAACAGGGAATTGGGCAACGGGGTGATGGGGGGAACAGCAGCTGGGGTACCCTAAGACACAGAGGCTATCTATACCTTGCTAGGGACCAGGATGTGAGGAGAGGAGGGAGGATTTAGGGCTGGGGGACTGGGGGGCAGGATGCTTGAAGGAACGGTGTCAGAAGGAGAGGACATCTAAGGAATGAGAGCAAGAGACACAGCAGGGAGTTAGATCAGGAGAGGACAGGAGATGGGATGGGCTGCAGGCTGCCTCCAGGTTCAAAGTAAGAAACAGGCAGTAGGGAATTGAGAGAAAATAGGAACCAGGGCCGGAGACCAGGCGAAGGACATGAGGATTGGAGGATCCGAGAGAGGCAATGGCAACATGAGGGCTGAGACGGGAGGGCAGAGTAGGACCCAGAATTGACCAAGTCCATGTGGTTTACACAACAATGGTGTGAGATATCACACAGGAATGTTGTACCCATTTTGCAGGTGAGGAAACTGAGGCTCCTTACTGACTTGCCCAAGGTTCCACAGTGGAAGAGCCTGCACCTGAACTGTGTCTCCTGGTGGGTTTCAGCCAAGTTGGAAAGACAAGGATGGGATTTGGGGGAACAGTCTCATTTTGCCCAAGAACAGCAGGTGCCTGGGCTGCTCCCGTTCTGGGGCCACCACTTGAAATGGACGCAGTGCAGAGCCTTGTGTCCCAGGCAGGGCAGAGGGGATGGTGACGGGGCCCACAGGGCTCACACTGAGGATGAGGTCATCTCGGGTCTCTTGATGTGCACCTGTCACAGAGTCACAGTGAGGGAAGGGAAGGCAGAGCCACTGGTTTGGGTTGACACTGCTGATCCGAGCCCAGCCCCCTCCTTGCCCTGGTGGGGGTTGGGGAGGGAATCTGGAATGGAGGCTGGGAGAGTTCCTTGGGGTCCCCCACTTTAGCCCCTCACCTTCATAGTGGTGTCCACGTTCTCCAAGGCCACACGGAAATTTTCATCCTTGTCTAGAGAGAGAGAGAGAGGGAGAGAGAAGAGGGGAGAAAGAGGAGGGGAGACGGACGGGAGGGAAGGGAGAGGGGGACAGAGTAAATGCGAGGAAGGCAGGAAGGGCGTCTGTCCTCGCAATGTCCTCAGTGATGCCCAGGAAAGCCCCTGCCTGCTTCTCCAGGAGGTGGGACTCACCTGTTCCGTCGACCTCGAAACCCCAGTTTGAAAAAGTGCCCACGACTTCCTCATCCCAGGTCTCGAACCATTTCCTGTCCTGGTCCCAGGACCTAGGTGGGGCCGCCACGCGGTCAGACACAGCCGGCCCGCCTGGGGCCCCTCGGCCGCCCTCGCACCCCGGCCCCATCTTCCGCGCGCTCACCGGTCTAGGTACTGGCAGCTCCACAGTCCGGAGCGCACTGCCCAGACACCCAGCGCTAGTAGCAGCAGCAGCAGCAGCAGCGCGGCGCCCGCCGTCAGGCCCCCGACCAGCGCCCTCCAGTGGATGGCCACCTCGCAGCGCGGGCCGGAGAACCAGTGCGTGTCCGTGGAGTAGCAGCTACGGGAGATCGCAGAGTCAGACCCTCTTCACCTCCGGACTCGGGGTCCACACGTGCACCTGGGTCCCCCGGGGCGGTGGGGGCGAAGGGTCGGGGCCCCAGCCTAGGGCAGCTGGGGCTTCCACCCTAGGGCAATCGGGGTCGTTCCACCCTAGACAAGGGGCCGGGAATCCACCCTAGAACGAGGGGGCTGGGCTCCACCCTAGAACAACAGGGTGAGGTTCCGCCCTAGAACAAGGGGGCGGGACTCCACCCTAGGCAAGTGGCGGGATTCCACCCCAGATCAAGTGGGTAAGGCTCCACCAAAGGAGGGGGTGGGGTTCAACCCTAGAACGAGGGGACAGGGCCCCACCCTAGAATGAGTGGTCCCAGAACTAGGGGACGGGACTCAAGGGGGCAGGGCAAAGAAGCAGAGGTCCAGGGCAAGGCTCCACCTTCGGGCAAGGGGAATGGGCTTGGAGCGGGACTCTGGGGACAAGGCTCCACCGTAGGGCCTGGGGGCGGAGCTGGGGCGAAGCATGGGGCGGGGCTTCATCCTAGAATGAGTGGGCGGGGCTCGGCTGATGCTGATGGTCAGCGGTGCCTTACCGACAGGTGGGACCGCTCCTCTCCAGAACGCACTGGCCCTGGTGACAGTTGATGGCGTTGTCCACGCCCGACGTGCAATTGGTGACACAGCGGAGCCTGGTGGCCTCCACCAAGGGGAAGTAGAACTCCTCATAGCCCGCGGGAGCGGCGCGGCGGCAGATGGCTGAGGGGATTGGGGAGAGGGTTGCACAGAGACAAGGACCTCATCTATTCTATTCAGAGGCCTGATAATGGTGCCTCTGAAAATGCGGGAGGAGGATTCCATTTCCGAGGTGGGATGCCGTGGGGTAGACCCTGGGATTCGAAGAGGGGAGTCCAGCACCACCACCCTCACCCTCTCCTCGCGGCCCCTGCTGTCCTCAGGTGGAAGTCACTAATCAGCGCCAGGAAGGGCCGCCCTGGGCCATATCGCTTGCCTCCCCCAAAGGTCTCTCCCTGCCCCCGACTTCAATGGGCAAATGTCCCTGGTGGCTGGGATCAGAGCCACGGGAGAGCGACCACTCAGCCCTTTACCCCACCCTCACCTTTCGGGGTCAGCTCTGTCCTGCTGTTGTTGTTCACCTTGATGGAGTCAGGCTTAAAACACAGGGCTGTGGGAACACAGGCACAGATGGAATGGGAGGGGGAGGTCAAGGGGTTAAGGTCAAGGGGTTAGGACCAGGAAGCAGGACAGGCACAGGGAGGGCAGGGAGGGCTGTCTCTGTCTGGGGAAGTGTGGAGGGGCCACAAGGGAAGACTCCTGTTCCCTCCCTCATCTCCCCTGAATAATTCGAGGTCTTCAGCCAGGAAATGCTGAGCATGATGATCAGGGGATCTTTTCCCCAGTACCCAGGTCCTGGGGAGACCCTCCCTAGCCCCACCCTTGATGACGTTGTGTGTGGACTCATTCCCCTTCTCCCAACCTGCCAGAGGTACCATAGGGTTGGCACCCGAGCCCAGAGGGCCCCTGGCCCAGCTGGAGTGGGCTGGGGTGGCGACTCAGGCCCTGGCCCCTCCCTCCAGCCGGGGCTCACTCTGGGAGTCCTGGCAGCTGTCCGCATCCTGGCTGGCATTCTGCAGCGCCTCCTTCAGCGTCGTCTGCGCCTGCTCGTACTGGCTTACCAGCTGGGTGCTGAAGGGCAGCTCCAGCAGGACCAGGTAGTCCACCACGATGCTGCCATTCCTGAGGGGTCCATGGCCTTAGAGAGTGCCCCAGCCAGGGGCACATGGGTCCTCGGAGGAGCACTCCAGAAGCAACCCAAAGTGCACCAGAAGCGGGAAAGGGGGCAGAGGTCCTGAGTCAGAATGCCACATGCATCCTTTTTAGAAGGGGCTGCCAGCATTCCTGACTTGGTCCGCCTGGGAAGGCAGGACAAGAAATAATTGACACAATTGACTTCCTGTCTCTGTGTGTTTTATAGAGACAAAGTCTGGCTCTGTCACCCAGGCTAGAGTGCAGTGGTGTAATTATAGCTCACTGCAGCCTCCAATCAGCCTCCCAAGTATCTGGGACTACAGGTGTGCACTACCACACCAGGCTAATCATTTTACTATTATTATTATTACTATTTTTATTATTGTAGAGCTGGGTTCTCACTATGTTGCCCAGGCTAGTCTTGAACTGGTTTCAGGTGATCCACACGCGTAGCTCTCCCAAAGTGCTAGGATTGCAAGTGTGAGCCACCACATCTGGCCTGACGTTCTCCTTATGTTGCATCAAGCCATCATCCATTGGGCGCCCCTGGATGCGCTCTGTCTCCCTCTCTCTCTTTCTCTCTCTCTAATGCTGACCCACCCAGTAGAGCAGGGGCCAGCCAGAGGGCGAAAGCAGTTCGCTGATCCAGGCACCACAATTCCCACATGTCCCTGTAACTTCTCCCTTCCAGTGTGCTGAGAAGAGAGGTGCCATCTCTCCTCCCGAGAAATGGCCCCAGAAAACAATCTCAAAAATACCCCAGGGAGTGATTCCTTATGTAAGCCCCTCCACCCCTCTCTTTATAAAATCTGATGATTACCACAAGAAAAGACAATGGGTTTTTTTCTGTGCACCACATTCCCCCACCCAACACCGCCTCTGCGTCTCCAGATGGGTCTCCTACCTCAGGGACAGGTCTCCACACCCTTGAAGGTGAAGCCCCGCATGCCTGAAAAATCTTCTGCATCTGGAAACACCAAGGAATCCCTGGGCTCACTCCAAACTTGCAGACCTGAGGGCACCACAGATGCCCCAACTCCCCAGCTCCAGGGGAAGCACCCTTCAATTTCCCTCCCCGGCTGGGAGCCACGGCTCTCACGCCTGTAATCCCAGCACTTTGGGAAACAAGGTGGGTGGATCACCAAGGTCAGGAGTTCGAGACCTGTCTGGCCCCCACTTAGTGAACACCCATCTCCTACTAAAAAAATACAAAACATTAGCCCGGGTGTGGGCGTGGTGTGCACCTGTAATTCCAGCCTATGTCCAAGGAGGCTGAGGCAGGAGAATCCCGTGAACCCCAGGAGGGGAGTTGCAGTGAGCCAAGATCATGCACCTGCACCTCCAGGCCAGGACAATAGTGTGAGACTCCATCTCAAAAAAAAAAAAAATCCCCTCTCCTTGCCCTTTACCTGATTCCAGAAGGTCTTGTTGAAATCCCTGTAGGCTGAGAAGTGTTTGTCATTGAGGCTCGGCGAGAACTCCTGAATCGACAAGACACTTCCATGCCCACCTTCAGTCTCCTACATCTGCACACCGCCATGCATGTCCCCAGTCACTTCTCCACCTCTGCTTCCGTCTAAGCCACCAACACCA